TCGTGGTGCGCATGCACTGCGACGACCTCCACATCAACGTGCAGGACGCCGCCGGCGACCGCATCCTTGCGGCCAGCAAGCTTAAGCGCGACAAGACGAACTGGTCGCAGTGGGTCGACAACAAGGGCATCCACCGTCTGGGCAGGGACACCAAGGGCAGGATCGTGACGGGCGAGGGGTGGCAGGAGGAGGAGGGCTTCGGCGAGGAACACGTCCACGACATCGTTGCCATTGGAAAGAAGAGGGCTAAGTGGGCCAAGACACCGAAGCTATGGGGCGAGGGCGACAGCTGCCGCATCTACGGCAACTTGGACGTGAACAGGGTGCAGGGTGATTTCCACATCACCGCGAGAGGTCACGGATACATGGAGTTTGGGGAGCACCTTGACCATGCTGGTAAGTTGGCTGTAACTCATGCGCCGTGGGTCGAGTCGTACTAACCATCTGGCAGCTTTCAACTTCTCGCACATCATTTCCGAGATGTCGTTCGGCCCCTTCTACCCCTCGCTTGTCAACCCTCTGGACCGAACCGTCAACGCCGCCAGAATCAACTTCCACAAGTTCCAGTACTACCTCTCTGTTGTGCCCACCGTCTACACCGTTGGCAAGTCGGCGTCCACCTCCAACACTATATTCACGAACCAGTACGCCGTCACCGAGCAGAGCAAGGAGGTCGACGACCACAACGTGCCCGGCATCTTCTTCAAGTACGACATCGAGCCAATTCTGCTGTCCGTGGAGGAGTCCAGAGACGGCTTTCTGCAGTTCCTGATGAAGATTGTCAACGTCGTTAGCGGCGTGCTCGTCGCCGGCCACTGGGGCTATACCCTCACTGAGTGGTTCAAGGAGGTGAGGGGCAAGAGAAGAGAGAGGAACGAGGGTTTTATTGGCACGAAGAATCAGTATGACCAGTAGACGATTAGTAGAGGAGCATTTGACAGCGCAAGGGGGACTACTGTGGGATTTCGGAGTTTACGGGTTGTATATAGAGGGCACAAGAAGGCCCATCTTCTGAGCCATGCTTCGACTCAAGGCTGGCTGAGGAGATGTTGGTGCAATTGGGACAGGAGAAATTGTTTCTTGGCATCAAGCATACTGTCGAATAAGTCGACAAAAAGAAAAGAGATCACCATTTTTACTGTGCCATGGCGACTAATTTTTTATTTTTTTTTATTTTTTTTTATTATCTCTGCCGTTGTTGTCACCTCTGTTGCTGTCGTCGTCGTCGTCCGTCGTCATCTTCGTCCGGTTCTCCCCTTCTTGTCTTTGTAACCTTCCTTTACTATGGTGTATACACAGGAAAGATGATATAAGCGATACCAAAGAAACTCAATGGGAGAATCGACAAGCCGCCTCGTCTCACTGTCTCTGGTGTAAGTGATCAGTTCTTGACGATACCGACTCAGTGCAGGGATTTGCCTCGGCGTAGGGTCGTCGCCGGTGCCGGCAGTGCAAGGTTTCTTTGGGGTTGCCCCACAAATGGTGTAAAACTCCCCCAGACTTTCCAATCCGACATCGCCAATTTGCAATCCAAAAAATTCCACACCCCGCCATTACGACTCACACATAGTCTTGGGAGCGAGGTGCGCAGCGACAATGGCACCAATCCAGCTTGCCAGTCGAACTGGAGGCGCCGCGAGGGTACAGCCATACTCAAAAAAAAATCCCAGCCTACAATGAGGTTACTAACACCGCAACAGCGGCTCCTGGCGCGCACGCGACCATGCCTCTCCGCGTCCTCATGTCTGCCGGTCCGGAGGACCTTTGCGACGGCACAAGACGTTGACCAGCTTGACGCCGAGATGCGCAAGCTCCTGCCCAAGTCGATCAAGCCTGACACCTACCGAAGGCTCCACGACAACCTCCTCAAGGTCCGCCACGTCCTTGGAGGACAGCAGCGCCTTACCCTCGCCGAGAAGATCCTCTACAGCCATCTCGACAACGCCGAGGAGTCGCTCCTCACCAACACCGAGAATGGACGCAACATCCGCGGCAGCGCCAACCTGAAGCTCAACCCGGACCGAGTCAACATGCAGGACGCCTCTGCGCAGATGGCCCTCCTGCAGTTCATGTCCTGCAATCTCGCTCAGCCCGCCATTCCTGCCAGTATCCACTGCGACCACTTGATTGTGGGCTCCAAGGGCGCTGACAGCGATCTGGTCGACGGCATCCAGGTAAATAAGGAGGTTTTCGACTTTCTCGAGTCGGCCGGACGCAAGTACGGCATGGACTTCTGGCCCCCTGGTGCGGGTATTATCCACCAGACGGTGCTTGAGGTCTACGCTCTGCCGGGCATCATGATGCTGGGTACGGACTCCCACAGCCCTAACGCTGGCGGTCTGTCTACCATCACCATTGGCGTCGGCGGTGCTGATGCTGTTGAGGCTTTGGTCGGCGCTCCTTGGGAACTGAAGGCCCCCCGCGTGCTTGGTGTCAAGCTGACTGGCAAGCTGAATGACTGGGTCTCTCCCAAGGACGTCATTCTCAACCTCGCTGGCAAGCTTACCGTACGAGGTGGAACTGGTTTCATTGTTGAGTACTTCGGCGAGGGTGTCGAGACGCTCAGCGCTACCGGCATGGCGACTATTTGCAACATGGGCGCCGAAGTCGGCGCTACGACGTCCATCTTCCCCTACACCAAGGCCTCGGAACGCTACCTGCTCCAAACCCGCAGAGAAGCCCAGCACCGCGCTCTTGAGGGCTACAAGAACTGGGGAAGCTTCAACTTCAGAGCCGACGAGGGCGCCGAGTACGACCAAGTCATCGAGATCAACCTGTCGGAGCTGGAGCCCCACATTAACGGTCCCTTCACCCCCGATTTGGCTACCCCTCTGTCCCAGTTCAAGAGCACCATTCAGCAAGAGCAATGGCCCGAGGTCCTGTCTGCCGGTCTCATTGGCAGCTGCACCAACAGCTCTTACGAGGACATGACCAAGGTCGAGAGCATGGTCAAGCAGGCCGAAGCCGCCGGCTTGAAGCCTAAGGCCCCCTTCTACATCACGCCTGGCAGCGAGCAGATCCGCGCCACCCTCGAGCGTGATGGCACCCTTCAGACTCTGGAGGGCGCTGGTGGTATCGTCCTTTCCAACGCTTGCGGCCCCTGCATCGGCCAGTGGAAGCGTCAAGATGATATCCCCAAGGGCGAGCTCAACGCCATCCTGACGTCCTACAACCGCAACTTCCGCGGTCGTAACGATGGCAACCCTGGCACCATGAACTTCCTCGCCTCCCCCGAGATCGTGACCGCCATGGCCTACGCCGGTTCAACCACCTTCAACCCCATGACCGACAAGCTTCAGACTACCGACGGCAAGGAGTTCCAATTCAACCCTCCCCGCGGTCTCGAGAACCCCAAGTCCCCTTTCGAGTCCGGCGTTGCCTCCCTCCAGGCCATCTCACCCGAGAAGCCCAACCCAGAGATCAAGGTCGCCATCTCCCCGACCTCTGAGCGCCTCGCCTTCCTCGAGCCCTTTCCCCCCTTCCCCGAGGGCGACATCACCGGCCTCAAGGTCCTCGTCAAGGTCACCGGAAAGTGCACCACCGACACCATCTCCGCCGCCGGCCCCTGGCTCAAGTACAAGGGTCACCTGCCCAACATCAGCACAAACACCCTCAACACCGCCGTCAACAAGGAGACGGGCGAGGTCAACGCCGCCTACGACGTCGACGGCTCCAAGCACACCATCCCCGAGCTCGCCCAGCGCTGGAAGGAGCGCGGCCAGGAGTGGCTCGTCGTCGCCGAGCACAACTACGGCGAGGGCAGCGCGCGCGAGCACGCCGCCCTGCAGCCGCGCTACCTCGGCGCCCGCGTCGTCCTCACCAAGTCGTTCGCCCGCATCCACGAGACCAACCTCAAGAAGCAGGGTGTCGTGCCCCTGACGTTCGAGAACGAGGCCGACTACGACAAGATCGCCGCCTGCGACGAGGTCAGCACCGTCGGCCTCTACGAGATGCTCCAGAACGGCGGCAAGGGCAAGGTCCAGCTGCTTGTGAAGAAGAAGGACGGCTCCGAGGTGCTCGTCCCCACGCTGCACGCCGTCACCAAGGACCAGGCCGGCTTCATTCTCGCGGGCAGCGCGTTGAGCATGCTCGCCAAGCGCAACCAGGCTTAGAAGAACGGTGTGTTTTATGAGGGGAAAAGAGGGTGGGTTGTTCTTGTTTTATTGGGTTATTGGTTTTCCATCATGTTGATACAATGGCGAAAAGTGAAGACAAAAATTGATGATTGTATATATCCCTGTGCAAGCAGATCTTTTTGTATTTGTTTCAGGTAATTTGTTTCTGGCTACATATAAAAGGCAAGAAAGGTATGAAATGGAGAAAACGAGTTGAAACTAGTTCTAAACCGTGTGGTGAAGCACCTTCGTTCTGTGATAGGTAACAAGGACGCCGACGAAGGACGACGACGACGACGACGACGACGACGACGATGACAGCTAGGACGACGTCACGGAACCACCTCAGCAGTCAAGTTTGGTTCCAGGTTTGTTTTTGAGTACATGCCTTGTAATCCATCACCAGGCGGTCACGCTCGTCGCGAAGCCCTTCATGCCTGGTGCCTGTTTGCGCCACGTGTATCTTCACCACGACAGCGATTCCTCGTGCGAGTCGGAAACACATAAGGGTCGCGAACAGGCCAGGAAGGGACTACAGGCCCGAGATTGCCCCGAATGCTTGACGCCTATCGTAAGATATAATGGTTGCGACAAGCTCGAGTGTTCGGGCTGTCCCAGAGGCAACGGGAATCCAGATTCTATCCGAAAAGTCCGCGCTGCCCCCAGTCTCCTCCCCATGTAAGTCTTGTAGAGCCAGCATCGGCAACTCGCGCAGGCTTGCTGCTGGTGACCCCGAGAAGGACAAGGCTGCCGAGTACCTCGGTGCTGTGGATCTAGGATGATATTCCACGCCCGCTGTGGCTCTTCTCCGTTCTAGCGTTATACTACCCCTCCTTGCTGTCGTCGTTGACGTCGTTCCCGTCGTTGACGTTGCCGTCTTCTTCGTCACATATGAGAGATAGGATTAGGCCCAATATTGCGGGCAAACTCGTCATTAACCATGATCGTGATGAAATTCACTGCTGGGCAGCCTCTCAGGCCGCACCAGACATCAAATGTAGCCCTGAAGAGTATTTCCGTCCCTGAGACGGCGGGGTATGCGCGCTTGAGCATCAATCTGTCGCCACCGTCGAGGCGCGAGAATAACAACGCTGAAGCCAACTCAGACAGGACGATGCTCCCTGCGTCTCGCAGGCGCACGCTCGGGACGACTATAGCTGGCTGGGACATATACGAGCCAAGTCGACCAGAATACTAACAGATTGCCGGCAAGATCGGTCCTAGGTAGATGGGGACGCGGGGTGTGTTGCAGTGTTGTTGGATGTGGATGGGTATGGACGCTAGTTCGGCCTCGCCGTGCACGTCGAATGTGAAGCATTTGGTGGCCAGTCTCGAGTAGAGCTGCGGCATAGTCAGGATATGCTTGTTACTCGCTGCGAGCCGAAGGTGGTGGACGAGGCAGGCAGAGAACGATCGCCAGCCATCGGCGCAGGCGAGGTGGTCGGGGACTGAAGCTGCGATAATCTCTTTGCCGGGCCCGATCGCGCCCGCGCCGCCGGCATGAGGGTTTTCGAGGAGCATTAGCACGTCTGGCTCGGCGTTGTCGGTCAACTCTCGGCGGATATTCGTGAAGTATACCGAGGGACATCTTGGGAATGGTAGGAGCCGATGGGTTGAGGTGGTTGATCGAAGACCGTGGGCGGCCAGCTTGGGTGTAGAAGGAGGCTCGGTTCATCGTTGGGTGGTGCTTGCATCACCTTGCCGTGGCCAACGTAGTAGATGATCACGAGGGCGTCTTTCCCGAGCCAGGGCTGGGCCGGCGTTCCGTAAAGCGTATTCCTCACGACGTCGGAGACGATGCCGTGCGGGTTGGGCGCGAACGCTGGTATTAAAGTATGCAAGACTTCGTAACCGTATAAGTGCTGGAAAGTATCGCCAAGTTGGCTGGTCCAGTGTCCAAGTCTGCCGCGGTGGCTATAGTCGATATCCCAGCAGAATGTAAGTACAATCACTCTGTTGTAGTGCTGTGTGTGTTCAGCATCGTAATAGTTACGAAGACTGATCTCCAAGGCTGGTTTGAACTCTTGGGCGGTGATCTCTTCTGGCTGGTAAGCCCGCGGCGGGTGCGTCGTCGGCCAGTCCATATCGTTGTCGTTCGCGGAGTATTCGAGAGGAGTGTAGAGGAATACGAGCAGAGAGGAGGGTTGGTGTCACTGTAGGCAGTTATGCTCTCGTACGACTTGGTATTTCAAAACAGCAGGAAGTCATGTCAGGCCGAAGAAAATGTTATAGATATCCCCAGTGATGTTGCGATAATCAAATACTCGACTTGTCTCCAGTGCTTCGGGTTAAGCGAAGTCTAATACACACCAAACGAGATCCTCATACGACGAGGACGACGAAGGACGACTACAAAGGACGACAATAACGACAACATGACGTCCAAAGGGATGAGAGTCTCAAGCGTGTAGCTTCGTTCCAGACCTTGTTGTCAAGTGAGAATACGTTGCAATCACAGCATCAGGCACCCGTGCAAAGAGGTCCACGAGAATCCAGCCAACCATTGTATACATCGGCAACACAACGCCCTAAAGGCCCCCAGCACCTCAAAACTACCATGTACACACTAAGCATCACATACATCTACCTCTCCCCATCTCCACCCTCCTATCCGTCGACCCTTCTGCCAACACCATTCTCTTCCCTCTCGCGGGGTAAAGAACAACAAGCCATCATGAGCAAGTCAGAGAAAAATATCCAAGCACCCACCTCCCTCCCTTCAACTCAAACAAAGAAACTTTTTTTTGGTCGTCAGAAGAATATCCCCCTAAACATGCATACCTAGACCGGAAAAGCCCTCTCACAAAATACTGAAGAAGAAAAGCAAAGGATAAGTCAAACGGCGAGAACTAGTCTAGGCATATCGTGCGGTCATGATGAGGTAAAAAAAAAAAAGAAAAAAGAAAAAAAAAGAAACACACAGAGGAAAACGGGACAGAGTCGATGGCCCTTTCCCCGGAAGGAACGTCTAGGTAAACTAGGACCAGAAATCAACGTAATGGGGTCATAAGCTGGAAGGGAAAAAGTAGTAACCATGAAATGTATAGACGCCCCAGACCGAAAATCAAAAATCAAAACCAAAAGAGAACCCTGAAAAAAAAAACCCTCTGCGAGGTTGGACCTCCGATTCACCAACGCCCCATCTGTCGGGGTTAAGCACGAAGGAAATAAGCACGAAGGAAACAACTGAAATTACCCGTGAAAACGCCAGACGCTTGGAGAAGTAATGGTGGCTGATAGGAAACCCAAGAGAGGGGGAAGTGGCAGGGGCTTCGACGTGGGCAATGGGAGGAACTTCTTGAATTCGAGAAAAAGGTGTAGAGGTTGTAGAACCAAGGAACCTTGCGCTGTCTCCCCCTCCTAACTCATGATCCGCCAGACCGTCCTTTCCTCTCCTGCTATCAAATGCTTGCGAGCGTGTTGGAACAAGAAAAAGGGGTTTTTGGCGAAAACCTCGATAACAGAGTCCCTCCCAAACAAAGTGCACCTCAACGCGGATCAATAGCGCCCGAATCCTAGCAATACCATAAGCATATAGAGTTCATCAGCGCTCGTCGCTTTTTGAAATTCCTCCTGCCCCTGTGCCCCCGTCCAGCCGTCCGACGAGAAGAGGGTATAGCGCGACCGGAAAAGCCGACATTGAGAATTACAAGGATTATGGAGAAGGCGTTACGGGGAACGAAGGAACCAAAGTGGTAGATAGTTGCCCATAATCCTATTGCGAGTAGTACACCATTCCGGGTGCGGGTTGCTGGTAGTAGAAACCGTCCGGGCTTGGCGTGATTCCGCCCATGCCACCAACACCGGGTCCGAATTGCGGGGGAGGCTGCTGGTAGCCCTGATAGGTGTTCATGGGCGGAAGCTGAGCCGCATCGTAATAGTAAACCATACCGTTGACCTCCTGGGCGACCAAGTTGGGTCCTCCCGGGGCCTGTCCGTTTGCTTGAGCGGCCGCGGGATCGACCTGGCCTTGTTGAGAGAAGCCAGGGCCTTGGGGCGGCTGTCCCGGGGGTGCAAAAGACGGCGCCGCAGCCGACGGTCCCATGTTGTTACCGTTGTACTGTCCGGGATAAAAGTACGGTTGTTGATGCTGCATCATAGGGTAAGGCTGGTTGTAGAAGTTCTGTTGCGGAGGCGGGTAGTTGGGCTGGAAAGGAGCAGCGTGGATCGCCCTCTCGGGGATCTGAGACAAAGGCGTGCCAGTCGAGTGCTGCGTGGGGTACGACGGTTGTCGTGAGTGAGCTTCCTGAGGTAGGCCGTTAGACACCTGGACGGGAACCTGCTGGTGGAAAGCCTGCTGGAAAGCCTGCGGGCCTTGGTTGAGGGTCGGCGATTCAATGTTTGTAACCGATACTGCCTTTTGCGGGCGAGGCTGATGCATAGGAATCTGGCTTGGCCGGTTCTCCTGGAATGCAGGCTTCTGAGGCAACGGGTGGGTTTGTGGCTGCGGCAAATCGTTGATGGACGTCTCATTCGGGTGCATAGCATGCATTGGCTGCATGGGCATACCATCCTGCCCAACAAACGGCTGATTAGGAACGAAGGGTTGATGAGGGTGGCTCGCGGGCGGCAGCCTGACAACAGGTCTGGAATTCTCGACTGGCACAGGAGCTCTCGACATGACTGAGCCTGTGGGCGAGAAAAGGTATTCACGACCATCAGGTGCCAACGAGGAGCGGCGGCTGAGAGCAATGCTCGGAGAATAGGCGCTGCCGTAGTAGCTTCCGCCAAAAACGCTGGTCCGTCTAGAAAACCCTCCCATCGAACCAAGGCCGGAGCGAGGCTTGCCCCGGGTCCGCTGCTGGTTCGGCCGCATGGCACGCGGAATGAAGATGAAGGATCGGTCGACGGCGGGGAAGATGTACTTGGGCGGGTTGTCGGGCAGGGAGATGCGGACTGGCTTGTCGCGACGCAGGGGCGGGCGGTGGTCTGGAAGTTTGGTGTATTGTTTGACTGGCATGCTAAAGGCCGCAGGACCTTTCCCGGTGACGGGAAGGGACACCCTCACCTGCACGTTGCCGATGTGTCGCTCGGTGGACAGAGTCCTGTTGATGGGGGTCGGGTTGGACGGGCATGTCGGGATGAAGCCGTTGCCGTTGGCCGGTCCCTCTTCCTCGGGCAGGTGCCTTGGTTGTCTCGAGGGCAGCGGGTCGGCGACGGTCTCATGCATGTCATGTGCCCATTGACCACTGGTCAGAGGATCGGTCGGACTGTGCAATTGACTGAGCGGGTTAGCCGAGAGATGACGAGATGACTCTTTCTGGGAAGCATACTTCATGGGAGCGTAGGGGCCTCCGATGCCTCCACCACGGCCACGTCCACGACCTCTGCCAAAAGGCCGGAAGCCATTAGCAGAAGGACCGGCATGGCGATGATCGTGCATGAAGAAGGCCCCCCTGTTGGGAACGAAGGCGGGGTCTTCGTCCCTTTTCTTCTTGTATTCCTCGTGCTCCCGGCGACGACGCTCGCCGACGGGCTCCGCGGGGCGGGACGAGTTGGAGCTCACGACAAGAGGAGCGGAAGACTTGGGCGGCGATGCAGCGGCGTCGTCGAGCTGGAGCTCTTGCACAGGCTCGGGACGGTCGCTAACGGAGAGGCCCTGAAGCATGGCATCGGCATCGGATACAGATTTGGTGTTGGCGGGCGCCGAGGGGTCCCGGGCAGCATGCTTCGCGGCTCCATTTCCAGCAGACTTCCTTGCGTTCGGGGTGATGGGGGAGGCCTCGTCGATGTTGCTGGTATCGCTATCGTTGCCGTGATCGTGGTCGTCACTAATGATGGAACCCTCGGTCATGGAGTCGTCATCGAGGTCGAGCTGATCAGGACCACCTTCTCCATCTTCCTCATCCTCGATGCGTCGTCGATGACCAATCTTTCTGCGTCGGGGGGCCGCCATGTTTTCGGTAGCTGTTGTAGAGCTATCTGGACCTTTCGGATGTTGACTCGGCGGTAGGTTGATGCTCAGGTTGACGAGCAGGACAGGCTCGAGGAGCGGAGGAAGCGGCGGAAAGATGTCGAGGGAATCATGCGATGCTTGCCAGGTAACGGTTGATGAATGGAAGACGGGGGAAAAGCAAGTACCGCCCTGCGGTTGGCGAAGAATTCGGGCGATGGGCAAACAGACGGCCAAGAGGGCGTATTAAAAATAAAATACAACAGCGGGCGGGCGTTGGGCAGTGCGGCGGCGTCGGCTTCGGGAGAAGCAGAAGCAACAGCAACACACAGCTTCTTGTCGGACAGATTTCTCTGCAACCAAAGAGCAGAGCAGAGCAGAGCAGGGTAGCGGCAAGGTGTATAAAAACCGCAATGCAGTGCAGCAGGGGCGGAGCTCTACCCGAATGGTCTCCTCGAACCTCTCTGCTTCTAATGAAAGAGCAGACGAAGGGTGGAAGTCTAAAAGGAGGAGAGGAGGAGAAGGGTTTGGGTGCGAGGAGGAATCGCAGGGGTGGAGTTGGTGGTGATGATAGAAGGGAGAGAGGAATTTCGGCCAGAGACGACGACAAGAAGCAGAGCAGGCAAGACGGGCTGGACAGGCAGAGGCCAGCAGGAGGGCCAAAGCAACGCAAACTTGAGGGGCCTCAACTGGCTGTGCTGTACTCTGCTAGGTACGGTAGGCAGGTAAGGTACCTTAAGGTACGGTGCGGTAGCGTAGCTGGACCTCTGCTACCAGAGGTGCCTACCTGCCTGCCTACCCACCTGAGGGAATCGGTGCGATGGTGCCCGTGGAAAATGTGGACGGACTAAGGTACGGGTACGGGTGTGGTCCGGGCAGGTTCCCGTCCCCCAGTCTCCAGTTCACTTCAGCTAAACGGTGCGCTATGTTAGACGGTGGATGGTGGACGGACACAGCTAACAGGAACATGCACCTCCAACGTTGGTCTTTATTTTTATTTAGGTGCTGTCATCCATCCTCGGCTGGCCTGTCTGGTCCGGGTGTTCTTGGGACACACCTTTGCGTATCAGTCCCTCAGCAACCAGCAGCAATGGAACTGAGGGGAGGCACGCTGCTGCAGCTGCTGCTTCTGCTGTTTTCTGTTGTTGCTGCTGCTGCTCCTGTTGCGTTGGCTGTGTTTCCGTAAGCCGGCCGTTTGGCTAGCTGGCCGGCAACTGCACACTCGTCACTCGTGTTCCCCCAAACCCCCATTCGCTGTCATGCCCCTCAGCCAGTAGGATGCTTCCCTTGAGACCGGCGTGCCGGAAGTGCCACGCTGTTTTGGACCCGACCTTGGGGCCTGGCCCAGCCTGGGCTGTGACTCCCAGAGTCCCTCTCTTGCTGCTGGTCCTGGCTGGATGGTTTCTTCGCCCACCTCACCGAAATCCCACCTCAATACCCAAGCTCGGGGCCTTGTCAAACCATCCATGCTACTTCGTCTCCAAGAATAACCTCTCCACCAATCCACGACCGTCACGGAGCTGAACAGGACCCGCTTTTGCTTTTTTGTTTCGAAGAGTCCAGAGTCTCGTCTCCGGTCCGGACGTAACCTCTTCGACTGGCATGTTTCCATCCTTATATGCAGCGTCCTGATCACGTTACCCGTGGGCCATTCTCGTTAACATGTGTACAGCGCCTACACGCAACATGTGAAAAAGGTCATAGTGGAATTCCGCAAGAGCCCAGAAATCCCAGTGCTCTGGGTCAATAGAATCATAGACCCAGACTGTGCTTCACCACTACTCGTCTGACACTCCGCACCCGCCCAGGGCGATGTGCCGGCTCACCGTTTCAAGTCCCTCAACGCTGGGACAGCCCCGGATCTGCCTGCGCTCGCGTCGAACCTTACTGGCCCTGCCAACCATGTGCCCCCTCGAAGCCCAGGATGGGATGACAACTGCTGGCCCGGAACAGGGCAAACTTAGACCCCCGCCAAGAGCGAGGGAGTCTGGCTGAGTGGTTCAGTTCAGCTTATCTTCATGAACGGTCAGCCTCTATGCGGTACAGGAACCAACCACGGACGCCGGTTGGACGACGGGCTTGCTGTTCGAGCCGGTCTTTACATATCGGCTCCGTATCCTCGCCGTCGTCTTCATGGTGGGTGATCTCTCCCTCTTGAAGTACTGCCGTCAACAGTTGGTCGACCCTGTTTAAGAGTCTTCAAACTTGAATTTCACCCTCAGTATGTTCAACTCCGAAGACTCCGAATCCGGACTATGAAGGAACACAGTTGGCTGATCTTAGAACAGATGATACTTGGCCAAGACCAGAAGTGGAAAGAAACGACCGGTCACGTATTCGAAGCCCCTGACGCCCAGGAAGCTCTGGTTTTTTGCCATATCTTCATTCGTCGAAGCTTACTGTGTCTTCCCTCGTCGACGGTGCCTTTCCTGGACAAGAACACGGCCTATCACGTCCTGCAGTCCCAAGGTGCCTGCCAATCTTGGGCTCGTGACTCGACTATATTCCACTTTATCCAACGCAACCCCGATGGACCAAATCTGCTTCAAGCGGCAGCCTTCCACCTCTGCGGCACACCCTGACCAAGCGTATGAAGTCTATAGGCAGAAACAGTTCTGTTCTTTCCGTAGCCACTCGTCATAGCGATGACTCTAAGGTCGAGTGGTTTACGCCTGGTGATCCCAGAAAGCCCTTGCTTGAAATGCCATACGTTCGAGCCTCGGTGGGAGGGTAAAATATCACCAACCCCTTTTTTCCTTCTCATTTCTTGCCTTGAGGACCTTGTAGGCAAAGCTATGTCCTAAGGGAATATCTATCAGGCACTTGTTAGCACCTCTTTCCATGTACATCGTCTTCTTTCATCCTCGTACCTGGTTTCTTGTATGTGGTTGATAAATGGACTTGGCCAAGTACGTAGCTGTTGGGTGGTCGTGTCTTGGCAGATAAGTAAGCAGACGGCGATCACGGACAAGACATAGCAAGATAGTGTCGAAAGCTGATGTGTTGATTTGAATCGTTTACTGCTGCTTTATTCATAAGTCATATTCCGCCATACATCTCTTCCATCTCAACATCAACCCCGTATGTTGTTTACCATCTTCTGTTGATCGTCTCAATCTTGCTGGACCCGGTCGCCGAGCCCGATGGCGGAGTCAGGTTCTGCGTCTTCTCAATCTTCGGGACGCATCCAAAGCGGGTGTTTCCCTGGTCCCAAATCTGTAGCAAAATCAGCACCACCACCTCGTCACATGGTTTGTAAGCAGAAGCAACTCACAGCATAGATGGACTTCAAGAATGCGTCACCAAGGATGTCAAAATCGTTTGACCCTCTTGACTGCACACCGCCATACCACCACCCGTCCTCAGCAGGCGCAAATGCCAAGTCCTCCTTCTGAATCACAAACTCCTTGTCCCCAACGGCGACCTTGAACTCGGGCATGTCGTCCGCCTTGGTGCTCGTCGGGAAGACGTACCCCTGTTGCTGGTCGTCGTACTTGGACCCGGGGATCGCGGCGTACAGCGCCTCGCACACGTCGTCCGCGACGAGCGCCAGCGTCGTGCCCGTGTCGGCGATGGCCTTGTTCCCGCTCTTGCCGACCGCCTTCCCGTTCACGCTCGCGCTGCCGGACTCGAACATCCAGAACCCCTGCGAGCTGTCGATCTCGGTCCAGTGGATCTCCTCCCCGGACGCCGAGACGAGGTCCGTGTCGATCCAGCCGAACGTGTAGAACGACTTGGGGTTACCCTCGTCGCGCTCGCTGTAGAAGGCCGAGGTGAAGAGCTCCGCGCCCGAGGGGATGTCCTTCTGCGCAATCATGTTGTCGACGGGCGTCTTCTGCGGGTCGCGGATGTTGCCGTCGCGCTGCACCGTGTTGATGGAGCTGAAGGCCAGCCCGAGCAGGCCGTCGCCTGTGCCCTGGGAGAACTGCGGCGCGAGCTGCTGCGCGAGCTCGACGACCTGGTTCTCGACCGTCAGCCCGCCGAGGACGAGGTTGTCGGTGCCGCAGTCGCCCGAGGCGGAGCTGCCGTCGCCGTACGAGATCTTCCACGAGAAGTCGTCGAGCTTCTTGAACGTGGAGGACTTGGAGGCATCGAAGACGTTATGGCTGGATTGGAGGGAGCTGCTGAGCTCAGTTGAGAAGACCTGTCGGCTGTGTTAGTGATCGCTATGGCGGCACTGTGTATTCGGGGAGGATACCCAAAGGTCAGAGGAGCCGGTGTCAAAGTCCAGCTTGAACTTCTGCGGCGGCGTGCCGATGGACACCTCGCAGAGGTACATGGAGTCGTACTGCTGGTCCTCCGCCGTGACCTCCCCGCTCTGTTCCCCAGAGTCGGTCTTCTTCACCAAAACGTTCTTCATGGAGACGCGGCCGCCGAGAGGGGCATTGAAGCCCGGAGCAGCAAGACCCCTTTGCGCCATCCTCTTGGTCTGGACGTAGGGGCCGGCTTTGGTGGGCTCGAACTTGTATTTGTTGAGCAAGTGAACGTACGACTTGGTGCCATGACGCTGGTAGTTCTTGTTCAGGGCGGCGGGGATCTTGGCGAGGCCCTTGTCCAGCTTGAACTTTGCCTGAGTTTGCAGGAATGCCTCCATCGTGTTTATGTATGGAGCTGTGGTCAAGGAAGGAGCTGGTTGCACTTATTGAGTCGGTGGGCAGTAGGATGAATTGAGTTGAGTTTGAAGGTTGTTTGCGAAACAAGCTCGCTCTTTGGGTTGAGCTGACGTTTAAATACCTGCCCGTTTGGGTAAGAAGCAAGTCCTGCGATCACTGATCGGAATGTCGGCACCTTTAGAACCTGGTCGGGCTGAAGTGAGTCGTGAGAGGGGGTTACGGGCGCGTAGGTGGAAAACCTGCTTTGCTCTAGATGTGATCTGTCGGTAGATAAGGAAGATAAATATCACCAAGGGGTGTTGGCGCAGCAATCATGCGGCGGCCTGTCCGGGACTTATAAAATGGCAGGGCTAACGTTTCGCTGACGACTGCTCAGCTGAAGTGACGGGTTGGGTGTATTCTGTCATGAGAGAGAGAGCTCATGCCGGCATTGAAGTGTGACAGTTCAGAGCAAGGCACGGGAGGTGGGGCGGTGCAACCGCAGGCTTGAAACGGAGCTTTCGTGACAACGCGCATTCGGACCTTTCGCCCGTGCTCTGAGCTCTCATGGGGATAGGGGGGGGAAAGGGAGGAAGTCTGGCCCTCGGTCCAGCCCGATGAGGCAGTTGGTTAGGGTACAAAATGGACTGGTGGAGACTGGACTGAGTCGTCGATGAACCAGTGGTTCAAAATGAACGAGAAAGAGGGGGAAACGTTATGGAAACACATGAGCGATTTGGACTTGTCACAGTCGCTCTACTTTGGAGATGCCCCGCGGGAGCTTCGGCCACCTGAACTTTCAAGCAGCCTACCTGAATACGCGCCGGTCAACCCAGCTGCCGTGATTCAGAAGGGGATTGGCACATGCAAATCAGAGACGGCTCGTGAGCCAAAACTGTTACTGCTTGACGACCAGCCTGGTCTGATGAACAAATCGACCGGGAGATGAGGTCTTCCCCGCCTACAGAATGATGTAACGGACGCCGCACGGTGGTTCCGGGGCAAGGATTAGCTTAGCGGGCCATGTCCCGTCTTGGCGCCGATCGACTCCAGATTCCTGGATACCCTGCCAAGCACGATGCGAGGAGACGAGGCCTCCTGATTGTTCTGCAATCGCTGGACCTGAACTTGGCATTGTGATGTCGTCAGGGTTCTTTCTCTGGATCCATGCTCGATGTTCCATCCGGATATAACATCTCGGCAATACACATGTGTCCCAAAGATAGGGCGTTCATCTCGAATCAGAAGATGGCGATTCAACATGACAGTGGTTGCTATCAAGGCCGAAGTTCCCATGATTGGTTCGCTGAACCGCCCACAGTACGCTGCTCTGATCATATCATGATATCATGCGCCTCCTGGACTCATAAATCGACAAGAGCTTAGAACACAAGCTTGTTATGCGGCACTGAGCCGTACCTTGCCAAAAGTGAAGCCGCGAACACCATTGCTGATCCAGCAAGGCTCACCGTCGACAAGACTGCCGGCCTTGACCTCTTCTTCAGCAGCCAGGTTCCTGAGAACGCAGTCAGCAGGCAGGCCCAAATGACGTGATACGTCAGGATATTCACCTTTCAAGAGCCCATCTGCGAGTGGTTCCATCTTGACCACCGCTCCCGCTATCGGGATTGAATTTGGCAGATACCGGGGGTGTCACCCACCTACCATTCCTCCAAAACCAGGGAGTGGTCAAGCTACCCTCCATGATCGTGCCATCTCTGGAGTTGACCAGCAGGACTTCCTTTCGGTCTGTCGGCGCAATCCTCGCACGATCCCGAGCAGTGTCGTACATGGCCCTCTTGGTAGTCTTGAAGTGGGTGTACTCGGATTGCGATGTCTCGGTGTTATCTACGACAACCTCCATAAGAGGTTCCTCAGAAGGATCGCTGGTCTCCTTGGAGCTTCCAGGCGGTGGGAGTCTCTCGGGGAAGAGGTTTTGCAACGGCACAGGGGGCACTGGTGATGCTTCACAGCTGAGCTTCCCGTCCGAGGTGAGCAAGACCTTGACTCTCAGTGGGGTTTCCTTGCCATGCTGAGCCAAGAAGGTCTCGACGGCGTCTGCGAGGTTCTGCAGACCGGTCTCGCCGGCGATAGTCTCAACGGCAGGAGTCCAGTTCCAATGTGTCGCGGCTCTGAGCATCCGATCCCGGTGGAGGTCGAGCATGTAGTACGGGGAGGTCATCTTGGCGTTCCACCCCGCATTAGCCAAACGCCTCTTTGGGATGCCCAGCAATCCGGGGTCGAAACGGAGCGACGTGAAGAGCTCAAATTGATTGGCCATGTTTGGGGCTGTCTGTAAGCTGTTGACTCAAGGTGTGAGCTGCGATGTAGGATGGTCGATGATTGTCAGATCTGCGATCTTGACTAGAGGGCAGATTTGAAAGAGAGACGCAGAAGTAAAAAGGCAACTCTTCTTGATGTAGGTAAGTTTTCCGATGCAACAAGTGCTGAGACCGGGCTTTGACTTTAGACGGCGACGGTGAGTCTTCTCGCTTGCAGCACGGAAGTCGCTCACGAGACGGCACTAACAATTTTGTGAGTTGCAGTGTAGGTTACATAAGCACACTTTCTCACTGCCTTCCGTCTCCACTTGTCACTTTCAACTACCTACCCATCTAATTAAATTGTTGATACTCATCGGGAAGAACACAACGTTTTGGTTCAAGACATAAGTTTAATGCATATTTTCCGTTAGCAGCTTGAGATAGATGATCAAGGTCACCTCTTATCTTGGCCACCCGAGACTTCAAATTTCATCAGCCCAGCTACTAATTAACATCCTTATCACCGAATGCCTGTAGTCCCCATTGTATGAACAAAGTGCGGAACCCAATGGTCTGGAAATTCTTCTAGTTTGATGTGATGATCAACATAAAAATCTTCAAAAAATCTCTTTGATTAGAACAGTAATTCGGAGGGCGCTGATACAAGGACAGGAGAGAGGGCTCATGTCAAGGTATTTCTGGAGATGCTCTTCAAGGTACACGCGCTGGATGTCAGGGCTCTGCCATACAATGAGTACCTTGTTTCCAGCTTTCTTCATTCTGGACGACCGCCCATTCCCCAGCAGAAGCAAGCATCGTTTCAGAACCGATGTCTAGAGACATTACGCTCATCAATGAAATACCCTGAAGGCCATTCCGCGTCAAAACAAGTAAGAAATTGTGAAGGCTCTCAAGCTGGAAACGACCTCTCAATGTCTCTTGACGCTAGGTCATGCCGAGCTGGCTGATCGTCGCTGAGGAAAGAAGTCATATCCAACTAGCCGTATGTAGCTGCGATTCTCTTACTCGTGTAATTTGCACGATGCGTAGCCAATCCATCTTCAGAGGATTTGTACAAACCACAAGTTTTTAAGGGACACAGAAGCAGTGTTCAGAGAGTTTCTAGCAATGAAGACTTGCATCGAATGCCTTTTTGAAGGACGCCAGGCTAGTGAAACCCAAAATGAGGATACAGGAGAATATGACGACATGGTACTCCAGCCAGATCCCTGGCGATTGAAGCTCACACATTTGTCTGGGAGAAAGTGCCTATTGTGTAATTGCTCAACGATTCCATAAGTCTTCAATTGATTCGGTTTGAGGGCGCAATACGGGTACACATCAACATTTCGCAAGCTTCGGAAAAAGACGACAGCTTATTAATGAAGACAGTAAACAACAAAAATCGTCAGCCCAGACCACGAAAGCGAAAGGCACCCTGCTGGCTGACCAACATATCCTTGCGACCTGGAGCGCCAGGGCCCTCACTGGTTACGTAGTTTGCAGGCTCATAGGCGGCCCTCCCTTGCCAACCCCACTCTTAAATCGCCTGAGGCCAAGCTGATTTGGTCAATGACAGTTGCTCGACCCAGAAGACTATGGTGCTAGGCCGGAAAAACTCCTCACGAGCTTGCCCCGTCGCGCAACAATTTTTTGCGCGCTGTGCCGGAAGCTCCTGGGCCCCAGTCCAGCGCATAGCAAACAGACCAGACAGAGACCACCACCACCACCACCAGACGGCCAGCAAGCAGCATCAGCATCACAGCAGCCAGCTCCTGCAATTGCACCTGCACCTGCAACCTGCCTACATCATCGAACCAGACCGCCCTCGCACTGGTCAGCCCATTCACACACTTCAAGTCCTCGTCGACTTTACGACTTTTCTTCCTGTACCACCCTTGATACCTCTGCTCCTCTTTTTACCAATTGCCTCGAGCCACCACAAATATGTCCAATCCCCTCCCCTCCGTGCCTCCTCTGGCAAAGACTCCGACCGTTATCCCGGTTGATTCCTCCTCCGGACTTTGGGACCGCATCACCTCTTGGGCTTCAGAAAACAAGGCCGTCGTTTATACCGCTGCAGGTGTTGCCGTCGTCGCTACCGGTGCTGGCGTCATCTACTTCCTCAACAGCGACTCCGTACGTTTTTACTCTTGTGTCTTGCCTGCTCCTGGCACCTGGCTGTCGTCATGCGATCCGATTTTCCACACGGCCGCTACGACTGGGATCTTGGCCATCTCCGCCAGCCCTGCCAGGTCAAACTGCACGGAATCAAAAGCTGACCTTAGTGCGATTCAAGAAGAAGGATGATACACCAAAGCTGAGCAAGAAGGAGCGAAGGAAAAGAAGGGAGGCCGAACGCAAGGCCGCCGAGGCAGAGAAGGCCGCGCCCCCACAGAAGGAGGCTGCTGCGCAACCGACGGCCGCCGCCGAGAACCCCGAAGAGCTTCCCGAGATCGACGAAACGTCCGTCCAGAGCTTCACCCAAGAAGAGCGAGAGAAGTACGCCGCCAAGTTGAAGGACGCCGGTAACAAATCCTATGGCGGTAAGGACTACAACCAAGCCATCGACCTCTACTCCAAGGCCATCCTCTGCAAGGCCAACCCCATCTTCTACTCGAACCGTGCCGCTTGCTACAATGCCCTCGGCGACTGGGACAAGGTTGTCGAGGACACCACCGCCGCCATCAACCTCGACCCCGAATACGTCAAGGCTCTGAACCGCCGTGCCAACGCCTACGAGCATCTCAAGATGTACGGCGAGGCTCTCCTTGATTTCACCGCCTCCTGCATTATCGACAGCTTCAAGAACGAGAACAGCGCACAGGCCGTCGAGCGCCTGCTGAAGAAGTTTGCCGAGCAGAAGGCCCAGGAGATGATGGCCAACCGCCCCAACAAGCTGCCCAGCCACACTTTCGTCGGTAACTACCTGCAGAGCTTCCGCGTCAAGCCCCGCCCGGCCGGTCTCGAGGACTCTATTGCGCTGGACGAGGAGACTGGCAAGGGTCAGCTGCAGCTCGGCCTTGCGGCTTTGGAGAAGAAGACTGGTGACGGCTACGAGGAGGCGAGGGCGGCCTTCGAGAAGGCCCTGGAACTGGGTGAGCTCGAGGAGTTCGAGGCTCTCGCATACAACCTCCGCGGTACTTTCAGCTGCTTGCTCGGAAAGCATGACGATGCCATGAGCGACCTGTCCAAGAGCATTGAGCTCGACCCCTCCATGACCCAGAGCTACATCAAGCGTGCTAGCATGAACCTGGAGCTTGGTGCCCCCGAGAAGGCTGCCGACGACTTCGACAAGGCCATGGAGCAGAATGCCGAGGATCCCGACATCTACTACCACCGTGCCCAGCTGCACTTCATCAAGGGCGAGTTCTCCGACGCCGCCAAGGACTACCAGAAGTCCATCGACCTCGACCGCGACTTCATCTTCTCTCACATCCAGCTCGGTGTCACCCAGTACAAGATGGGCTCCATCGCCTCGTCCATGTCGACCTTCCGCCGCTGCATCAAGAACTTCAAGGACGTCCCCGACGTCTACAACTACTACGGAGAGCTGCTACTCGACCAGGGCAACTTCCAGGAGGCTATCGAGAAGTTCGACGCCGCGATTGACATGGAGTCGAAGACGAAGCCGATGGCCATGAACGTTCTTCCCCTTATCAACAAGGCCCTGACCCTCTTCCAGTGGAAGCAGGACTTTGGCGAAGCCGAGAAGCTTTGCCAGAAGGCTCTCATCAGTATGCACACCCCGTCTTTATTTTCAAATCGCGAGACTAATCAGATACAGTCGACCCCGAGTGCGACATCGCCGTTGCAACCATGGCCCAGCTGCTCCTTCAGCAGGGCAAGGTCACCGAGGCTCTCAAGTACTTCGAGCGCGCTGCCGAGCTCGCCCGCACGGAAGGAGAGATCGTCAACGCTCTTTCGTACGCCGAAGCGACACGCACGCAGCTTCAAGTGCAAGAGAAGTACCCCAAGCTGGCAGCGAAGTTGCAGGGTATTAGCCCGGGTATGCCCAGGTAAAGGAGAGGATTTACACTTTTCCGACTGAAATGAAGTAACCACACCCACACAACCCACCAACTGGCGCCGTGTAAGAAGAAGAAGAGTAGTAGTTTAAGCTCCTGTGACGGAAAAAATGGGGGAGCAGGTAACAGCCCCGGGAAATGGGTTCCGGGGCGAGTAATGGGGGACGAATCAAAATATCAGGACGGGACGATGTTAAGAACCAAAAAAAGCCCGTTTGCTGTTATGTTCATGTCTTTTTTTGTTGGCCGGCGGCGGGGAGCTTCGGGTTTTGGCGGCGGTGAAACCAGGGCTTAACGCACTCGGCTTGGGAGGCATGGGTCGAACCCTTTAACACGTTTGTACATAATCCGACTTCCCTCACTTTGCGTACATTTGGTGAGAGCATTGTAGAACTAGTCCATTGTCATCTGTATCCATATTTGTCAATCTTGGACCAGTCTAGCTACGAGTGGTTGAACAGCGGCCTCGACGGAGTTTTTGAGTGACTTTCAGGATGTGTTTTGTCTACAGTTGCTGTAGGCGAGAAGCATCACTTTGGACAGGGTGGATAACGAAGACTACTTGACTGGCTGGCTGGTGTTATCTAGCTGCCCAATTTACTAGTAGCAAAAAACTTCTTGGGCAGGAATCGCCAACACAATTAATAATAGTAGCAAAAAGATGATTTCGCCCGGACTTGAACCGGAGACCTTCAGTGTGTTAGACTGACGTGATAACCAACTACACCACGAAACCAGAGGAACTCCTCATCGGAGCTGTTGGGGTGGGTTGCGACTTCCGTGAAAATGAATCGTGCCGCCCCCGCTGTGCCGTAGGGCTGGCGGCGGGATATCGAGCCTGGGCGTGGGATGCGGGCCAGCGGGCGGCGGTGCGGGACGGGGGAGATGAGGGCACCTAGCTAACAATAACAGCACCCATCCCAGGCCCAGGGTACCGAGACATTTGCTGGGCCGGGTGGTTGGCCCGACCAGGTTCCCGCGTGGCATGCCGGTCTGCGTCGGTTGCCGGGCAGAGGAGGGCGTTTTCACGAGCAAAAATTCATTCGGTAACACAGCGTTATTTGGTGTGGTGTCACCGGAGGAACATGGGAGGCCATTCAAGTCGTTAAACCCTCGCCATTGTTTGTGCGATACGTACAAGGAGAAAAATGTGCCGTTGCCCCCGCGCTCCGATTACCACTGTCCCACGTTCTCATGATCCAATGGGTGGCAGGAGGAGGATGAGGAGGCAAGAGACTTTCAATACATACAAAAATAAGAAAGAGGAAATAAAAAGACTCCGGAGCCTCCCCCAATCTCCCGTTTGTGGTCGTATGAAGGGTATGCGTACAATGAGTATAAAACCTGGTGGTTTGGGGAATCAGGAGCCCGCCGTGGGTGTAAAATGCTCGGCGGTTTAAATAAAAGTTCGTGGCCTCGTTGGAGGGGGAGTCGGTCGGATGCGGCGGGATACAATACCAGTGCCCTGCCCTGATTAAAACCTTTCCTCCGTTCGAGCCATGGTCATGAAATCTAAAACAGTCGTCGTGCCATCTCTTTTTAAAGTGCTGTGCTTTGCCTTCGTCATGTGGGCTCATCGCCATGCCTGCCCCGTCAAAGCATTCTCTTACTTCCGTGTCGTACAATGTGCTTGCTCGTAGTTTGCAGTCGTGGTTTATTTGCTGCCACACTTGTTGTTCGTGCAGTAGAGACCAACGCCCAGGCCGACGGCGAGAGCAATGATGATGACAACGATGAGAAGGCACCACCACTTGAGCTTTCTGCGGTTGCGGGCGTGCTTGTTGGCGACAGCGACCTCCTCATTGCCTTTGGCGATGTTGTCGACGGTCTGTTGGGCGTTCTGCTCGGCGGCGTCGACGACGGGTTCTTGTGCCTCAACAAGAGTGGCCATCTCCTGGTACAACGTAGCGAGCTCGACGAGAGTCTTTTCAATGCGCTGCAATTCGTTGTGGCGGGCTCTGACGTTGCCCAGCACCGAGTTGGCCTGGCCTGTCCGGTTTGACTTGAGCTATAGGCGACAACGTCAATATCCGTGCTTTGGGTCAACTTTGCCATAGAAAGCTTGGAAAACTTACAGCTGTTTGGAAAACACCCTCATTACCCCAATCGAGCTCCGTCGCTTGCTTAACCTCGTCTTCCGTCGCTTCCGGGTTGACAATGCGGTACTGGCGGGCAATCTGGTCGCGGTAGCGCCTCTGGTAATCGCTCTCAATCTGCTGGTACTTTTCGAGCTCGCCCTTGAACGTGTTGCGGAGCGAGTTGAGCTGGGCGCTCTTTGTGGCGCGGGAGCCATCCTGGGTCTTTGCGAGGTCCTTCTCGAGAGCCTTGATGCCATCCTTGACCGCGGTGTTGCGGAGCTGCGTCGCGGAGACGGCCTGCTCGAGCTGGTAGCTGGCGTTGGAGTCGGTGGAAGCGAGGGAACGCTGGTGCAGGGCAGCAATGCCCTCAATGTCAGATGTGAGGCCCTGAATCTCGGAGCGCAGGTATTGCACGCGCTGGAGGAACTCTTGCTGGGTCAGAGTGGTGGGCGGCGGCGGCTGGTTGGCGTACTGGTTCGGCTCCTGGCCGTAAGGCTGCATCTCATATTGGCCTTGGCCATACTGCTTGCGATTGTTAGCGACGATGCGATGCGACGATACTCCGCGACGGTGGAGGAGGCGATCGAATGGATTGTTAACGGACCTGGTTGTTATTGTTGTTGTTGGCGTAACCGTAGCCGCCTTCCTGGTCGGGGCCCTGAGCGTAAGGGTTGTTGTTGTACTGTCCGTACGACATATTGACGGATTGCTGCTGTCAACGCGATTACAGACAGAGCGTTGAAGAGGAGATCGATCGCGTGAAGCCGGAGAGAATTGGCGGGGTGAGAATGTCCGGCGGTTGCTCTCGTGAGATGGATCGGGTGGTAGCAGGTGTGAGCACTGAGTACCAAGCGCTGAGGATATTTCGGCTGATGTCCAGTCGTTAAATGACGTCCAGGTTGGACCTCCGGCCGCTGACAGGAACTGGGAACTGCTGGAAAGGCACTGAAATGACAGTGTGGACGGACCCAATCAGGAGCCGGGACCTGTCAGAGCGGATACCCCGGGCAGTGTCTGTGGTTGGGTGGGATGGGGCGCAAGTGGGCAGGATTGGCCGATCAGATTTCCGGGGTCCTGTTTTTTTCAAGTCTTTTTTTCTTCTTCGCAGAGGAGCCTGACGGGCGCTAGAAACAAATAAACAGTCGCAGCCCCTCTTGGGGTTTTGGGACGGATGGTACTTTTGAGGTTATACGACACGCCTGGAACGGGAACCGTGAGCGATTCTCGATGCTGACAAGCTAAGCAAAAAGGAGGATTCGTCGGGTCCGGAAAGACAAGCTGGAGCAGCCCAAGGTCAGTGACATCAGAGCATGTTGCGGCCAGCGGGCGGGGCGAAGCTTATTATTGTACACGGGACGCGGGCATGTTTTCTGCGAAGGCGTCCACGGGTTTCGCTGCCCGTCCCACAGCCCAGGGAATGTAGGTACCTACCTAGGTAAGCACTGAGAAGGACTCTATGGACGGAACCTGTGCCTGGGTCGTACGTCCTTCAGTGTCTCACACGCACCCAGACCGTCCGGCGGTGGTGTGCAGAAAGGGTCAATGGCAGGCAGAACAGGAGGCTGGGCTGCTGTTGTTGCCCCTCCCTATGTCTTCCCGCAGTCTTGGCTCTTCTAGCACACATGGGATCGACCTGCCACCCAGCTTGTCCAATGTCCAGCCCATGAATGAATGAGGTGACGATTGGGTGGGAACGGCAACTACAATCGAAATGGGCTGAGCGGCGGCGACACCATCTAGTCGTCCCCAAAAATAGCTGACTGGTCTGACGTGAAAGGTCGAATAATGCTGCCGGTCAATTGCAGCTGACTTCAATCGACGAACCAAATTGCCGACTTTCTTCACCTGCAGCCGTTGCAGAGACTGCTGAGATCCGCAGCCTTCGGTACTTTCGCTGCTGACCGTCCCGGCTCGACCGCAGGTTCCTGGAGGCGTCACCAACAGTGAGCTAGTGGCTGTGCGAGCCGCCGGTTTGGCCCATCCCAAGAGTTCTAAGCCACCCTCCCTTCCCGCGGTTCGTCCTTTTTTACCCACATTGCCTCCCACCATTAACCGCGTGTTTGCGGTGTGCGCAGCCTGACTGACAGGCAACGGCGATTTCAAAAAGCCCGTTTTACGCTCCGTATCCGTGTCGCGCGTATGTAGTGGCGGGGGCCCCTGAGAAATTGATTCGCAATCAACCCAGCCCAACAGGGGCCGGTTCATTTATCCCATGCTTAAACCTTTCCGATGGAGAGCTCGGCTGCGAGACCGCCGGATGACGGCTTGAGTTGCCCCTCATTGGCTCGTGATGGCTGTTGCAAGGACGTCGCTGGCTGGACCCGTTTATGTCGCTTCATGGGGTTAACACGATCCAACCAGTCTGACTTTGGCGTCATCAAAGGTGTTTCCTCACACATCTGGATTGACGATGAATATATTTTGTCAGCAATCAGTTTTATACCAAGCTAACTTGTAATTGGCCTCTGATCAAGAGATATAGTTGCTTGGTTCTCAGTATCGTTGATTGTGGCTCTAGCCGTGATAATGTGATGTCTACCCAATGCAGCCTTTTTGATGCCTTCTACGCCCAAATCTCAAAATTAGCCCAATGATTTCGCAATCCCGCGCTTCGTCAGGAAGCCTCAAGAAGTGAAGTGCTGTTGAATGTACAGCCTACTTCTAATCCAGCTCTGCCCTAGCTTCTCAGTCGACGACACTGTCTCACAAGTACTCCTTCTTCCTTCCGGTGCGAGTGTACTGCGAGAGGTGCCATTCCACGTCTCCCTCCTTGTTTTCGAGAGTGCCGGCGCGGATCTCAAATGGCCGCATGGTCATGCGCGGTCCAACCTCGGCAAGCTCAACTGAGTCGTAGGAAGTACGGACAAAAACATGGCTATCAAGCCTGGTGAGCAGCGGTCATCCGTAACCGGTCAAAGGTCAACTTACTGTCGCACTTCTATGGTGTCTTCATTGTTGACGAAGGTCACGACTCTGTTACCTATCTTGGTTTTATTCGTAATCGGTTCCCGTGGAGGGAAAAGATGCTTGAGGATCTTGACGATACGCTGTCCGAGGCGGCTGTTGTGAGATTAGCTAAAGCATACAATAAGCGGATCGCTGCCACGCACCTCTTAAAACCTTCAAATATCAAATGCTTTTTAATATTAAGGAATTAGTTATACATAGAAGAATCAAGGATTTCTGCTTGACTTTACCGGGTAAGCTTCAGAGACAGATCCTCGGATAGATCCCGGAATGTCATGTCTGAGAACCACAGAATGCAATGAACAAGAGAGCGTCGGGCCGTGAGGGAGGTGAGAAATAGTGATGGCAGTTGGTACGCCTCGGTGTTCGTGAAGCAAAACAACGTCGGTCAGGGCGTTTGATTTACAGGACTGCACAAGGTCGTTGAGAATGAGGTTTCCACGGTTGAGACGGACGGACGTGGGGAGTAAAAGTCTAATCTCCTTGCTGAAGGCGGCCAGACGGCTCGAGGGATCTCTACTGGTGGTAACCAGGATTCGAGGATCTTGAATACCGCTCAGTTGAGAGTACTCATCGTCGAGGTCCAACTCTTCGTTGACCGTGAGATCGGGACGCGACTCATCATACTGGTAGCTGTTCGAGGTCAACACAACTGCGTCTCATTCGACTTCCAAGCTAATCTCACTCTTTTCTCAGGCTCTTGTCCTTCGCAATGGCTGGGTCCAACGGCTTGCCTGAAGCAAGAGCAGACTTCAGAGCGGCCTTCTTCTCGTTGGTCTCCGCGTCCTTCAGCATCAACGCTCGGCGATACAGATAGTCGCGCCTTTGGCGCGCTTGTTTTCGCTGTATTTGTGTTAGTGTATGTTCTATCATTATATTGGCGTCAAGATTTAGTTGTATTTGGCACTTACAATCATTGTTGCGGTTCCCTTCGATGTTGTCCGGAGAATGATGAGTTTGGCTTTCACTTGATTCCAAGTCTGGAAGTTGACTGCACCGACAATGAATTTTTTAGTGGAGTAAAGTCATTTCAGGCAGAGCTCATTGGGCAAGGGAAACAGCCACAATCGATACGTCCTGCGAAAGGACATGATCCCTGTCTTATCAGAAGGGTCACGTGGCGATAGCCGCATCCCACCAAAATGGCTGTCTGGGCACCTTCGCCGCTTTCTTTGGGCGGGCCGACCTGATTTCCCATCGTTCGGGTGCCGAATCCACGAGAGCACACATACGTTCAAGGTAAATCTTCGCTTACTTGGTGTACCTTTGAGGTCTCGACACCAAACCTTGGACTTTCGGCACCGATATGATGTGACGTTTCTCCTCCCTAAACACCTCGAATCCCCTTCCGTACGACCTGAGCCATCCGAGGCTCTGCGACGCCGAAATATTCGAGAACAACAAAAAGGCTGAAGTAAGTTGCGCTTTCCCATGGCGCACCGGACAATTCCAAATAATCGCCACCACCTTGTCGTTCCCGCTTTGCGAGCACTTACTTGTTGCCTCTGTCCGAACTTTCCGCTGACCATTTTCTCCCAAGGGAGTAGAAGATCAGCATCAAGATAGATAGAAGTGGAGGAGCGAACTATCGCGACAATGGAAGGCGCATTTACGCACTTGGGGAACCACCTCATAAACGACAGCACTGCAGCGATCAAGGCCGGCGCCGACGACTTTACCGGCATCGACCCCGACGAAAGCCTTCTCTACGGGAAGTTTGGCGGCCGCGGTGGTCGCCGCCGCGCCGATGACGATGACAACCAAACGGAGCTGTACGACGATGATGACAACGATAGCTTGACGAGCATGCCCGTCGGGACCATGAAGGATCTGAACCTCGGCAGACCTCAGGAAGAAGATAGGGAGCTTCCACCTCACGCCTGCGCGTAAGTTGGCCCGCCGTCACACTTTGCGCCAAGTACCATGCTGACTTGACCCCTCCCCAGGTATTGTGGAATCCACTCACCGAGTTCCGTCGTGAAGTGCCTTGGCTGCAACAAGTGGTTCTGTAGCGCTCGTGGCAACGCAACTTCAAGCCATATCGTTAACCATCTTGTCCGAGCTCGTCACAAAGAGGTCCAGCTTCACCCTGAGTCGACTTTGGGCGATACCGTCCTCGAATGCTACAACTGCGGAACCAAGAACGTCTTCCTCTTGGGTTTCATCCCTGCCAAGTCAGACACCGTTGTCGTGCTTCTTTGCCGCCAGCCATGCGCCGCCAATACGTCCTCCAAGGACATGAGCTGGGATACCTCGCGATGGCAGCCCCTGATCGAGGAGCGAGCCTTCCTGACCTGGCTTGTCGCGACTCCTTCCGATGCCGAGCAACTCCGTGCACGACACCTGACCCCGCCTATGATTGCAAAGCTAGAGGAGATGTGGAAGGATAACTCTACCGCGACCGTTGCCGACCTCGAGAAAGCCAACAGCATCGATGACGATCCTCACCCCGTCCTGCTCAAGTACGACGACCCGTACCACTACCAGAACATTTTCGGTCCACTGGTCAAGATGGAGTCCGACTACGACAAGAAACTCAAGGAGGCCCAATCTGAGGACGGTCTGACAGTTCGCTGGGATTACGGTCTCAACAACAAGCACCTTGTCAGCTTCGAGCTCCACAAGATAGAATCTGGGGACGTGAAGCTGGCGGTCGGTGACGAGATGCGTCTGCGATACAAGGGAGAGCTTCGTCCTGCGTGGGAGGGAGTCGGCTATGTCATCAAGATTCCCAACAATCAGTCTGATGAAGTCACTCTGGAGTTGCGAAAGGCAGGCAACGAGAAGACGGTCCCGACCGAGTGCACTCACAACTTCTCTGCCGACTACGTGTGGAAGGCTACATCGTATGATCGCATGCAGTATGCGATGAAGACTTTTGCTGTCGACGACATGAGTGTCTCCGGATACATCTTCCACAAGCTTCTCGGTCACGACGTGGCGGTTGCGCCTCAGAAGACGACTATGCCTAAGAAGTTCAGCGTCCCGGGCCTTCCCGACCTCAACACTAGCCAGATTGCCGCTATCAAGGCCGTATTGTCCACTCCGCTTAGCTTGATTCAGGGCCCTCCCGGAACTGGCAAGACTGTGACTTCAGCGACCATCATCTACCATCTTTGCAAGATGAACAACGGCCAAGTTCTGGTCTGCGCTCCGTCCAACGTCGCTGTCGACCAACTCTGCGAGCGTATTCACCGCACCGGTCTCAAGGTTGTCCGTCTTACAGCCAAGTCGCGCGAAGACGTAGAGTCCTCTGTGAGCTTCCTTGCCCTCCACGAGCAGGTCCGTATGAACGACAGCAACGGAGAGCTTGTTAAGCTTGCACAGCTCAAGAGCGAATTGGGCGAGTTGTCCAGTCAGGATGAGAAGAAGTTCAAACAGCTCACCAAGGCCGCTGAGAGGGACATCCTTCACAATGCGGATGTCGTCTGCTGCACTTGCGTTGGGGCTGGCGACCCCCGTCTTTCCAAGATGAAGTTCCGCAACGTTTTGATCGACGAGTCTACCCAGTCCGCTGAGCCGGAGTGCATGATCCCCTTGGTTCTTGGCTGCAAGCAAGTCGTGTTGGTTGGTGACCACAAGCAATTGGGCCCTGTCATTATGAACAAGAAGGCAGCAAAGGCTGGCCTGAACCAGTCCTTGTTCGAACGTCTTGTCAACCTGCGCTTGGTGCCCATCCGCCTCAACATCCAGTACCGCATGCACCCCTGCTTGTCTGAGTTCCCATCCAACATGTTCTACGACGGATCCCTTCAAAACGGAGTTACACATAGAGAGCGTCTTCGCCGCGACGTGGATTTCCCCTGGCCTGTTGCGGACATGCCGATGATGTTCTGGTCCAACCTTGGCAACGAGGAGATCTCTGCATCTGGTACATCCTACCTGAACCGCACTGAAGCTTCCAACGTGGAGAAGGTTGTCACCCGCTTCTTCAAGGCTGGAGTGAAGCCCGGGGATATCGGTGTCATCACTCCGTACGAGGGTCAACGAAGCTACATCGTTAGCACCATGCAGAACACTGGTACTTTCAAGAAGGAGAGCTACAAGGAGGTCGAAGTCGCGTCTGTCGACGCTTTCCAGGGTCGTGAGAAGGATTTCATCGTCTTGTCTTGTGTCCGTTCGAACGATAACCAGGGCATTGGTTTCTTATCAGACCCACGTCGTCTCAACGTCGCCTTGACCCGTGCCAAGTACGGTCTTGTCATCATTGGCAACCCGAAGGTTCTTTCTAAGCACGAGCTCTGGCACCACCTTCTCGTTCACTTCAAGGAGCGAAAGTGTTTGGTTGAGGGCCCCTTGACCAACCTGCAAACCTCTCTTCTTCAGTTTGGCAAGCCGAGAACCGCTTATCGCCAAAAGATGAGCCAGCCTCCTCAGTTCAACGGCGGCGGCGGCGGTGGCGGGTTCCCCAACGGTAACCGCTTCAACGGCGCTGGTTCCACGCGTGACTTTGACTCGGGGTCGATGATGTCGTACATTCCTGACGACGTTTCTTCCATCCACAGCTCTCTCGGCGGTGCTGGCCTGAACACCACCTATCCGCCAATCTTCTCCAGCTTTACCCCTGAGCAATGGCCTGGTCTGCCTGGAGTACCCGCAGCAGGCCGCTCTGGCAACAAGAGGGGTGGACGCGCGACTGAAAGCATCGCCGGCGAGAGCGTTGCCAACTCCGAGTACACAGATGCCAGCGCCAGCGTTATCGGCGCCAAGGGTGTTGGCCAAGGCGGTGTCAGTTTGGGCGCCGGCCTCCAGGACGCTATCCACGGAATGCGGCCCGCGTCTTACAGCCACAGTGACCGCTTGAAGCAGTACGTCGAGAGCGGTGGTCGCATGGGAACCGGCAACGGTTACGCCCGCCGGTACGACGACGACGAGAAGAGCGTTAGCACTGCCTTCCACAGCCAGATTGGTGGCGGCTTCGACTGAAAAGCATGACGGATACGGACAGGAACATGCTGTACCAACCACACGAGTGGTTTCTTACCGAATCATCCGCCGGCTTTCAGCCCTCGCCGCACCACGCTCGGTGCTGTACGAAGGAGCAGGCAGTTCGCCTCAGTCCAGAGGCGTCTCGGACTGGCCCCGGTCGACGGTAGATACTCCATCAGACCGAGGAGTCGATATCCCACGACGACGTGCCGCAGGCGGGTGATGGCCCGACCAGCGAGAGCTGCAACCGACGGAGGGAACCGCTCGCGCGCCCTCAACGGCCCGCAATTCGCAGATTGTTATCAGTGTGCTGTTAGTGTTAGCAATGGGGAGATGGATGAGGCAATGGACGATGACCGGCCTGGGCGGAGGACACGCGTCTGCGTCTTATGCGGCAACTTGTTCTGGTCAACCATAACATGGACTCGGTCATCTAAGTCTGCAATACGCAACTTGTTGCTCAGAGGTCTTGAGAAGAGCTTATGCGATGATGCAATGAACACGGAATTGCACAACTCCAGCTTAGATTTAGCCCATAGAGTCTACGTAGTAATCACGGTCTTTACTGATTTGCACTCAAGCCCCCAATGCCCCAGATTTCGCTAGCAATTTGCGATGCCACTAAAACAAATATTGATCCACAGGCTGCTCGGAGAGACATTCAATATAGCACATAGTACAATATGACAGAATTCGGATGCACTCCGACAAGAGCGAATGAGGTGGCCAGCGTATTCATTGTGTTTGTACCGCGAGGTCAGAAGCAGCCACAATCCACTGATAGGCAGGGGACGGCGGTCGATACCCCACAAAATCCTAAATTAATTACAACGACTGGGAAGGCCCCCGTTCAAGCGCGGGAGCTGGCACTTAATCTGACGTGCGAAAAGGCAGGTTACAGTGGTCCTTTCGCCGCCCCCCCATTCCAGGACCGCATCCTCGTCGCGAGACCGGGCGGCATCCAATGGACGGCCCACTATGACGATCCGTCCGATTCTTGGCCTCGCAAAACGTCTGGTCAGCGGAGTTGCAGTTGCAGTTGCAACGGTGCGGCGGGCAGTGTGTTTCCCAAGACCGGACCCATCCAGCTTAAGCCTCAGCGAACGCCCGGGATTTACGCCCTCGTTGGCTGGTCTGGTTGGCTCGGAAAGGGAAAGCCGAATCAACTCTTGGCAATTCCTTACGTACACGTGTGGTGTTCGTGTTGAGCAGCAGCGCACATCGACGACGGAAAGATGGTCCGCTTGGCTTGGAAACGGCAAGCAGCGGTCCCCCTGACCTCCTCCGGGTTGTTTGGTCTCAAACCTTGGAGCTCTGTGTCTGGGTTCCTCTTTTCTTCCAAGTTTCCCCTGGACCTTACTTCCTCCCCCAAACGTCCAGAAGGTCTGGTTGAACCGACACGTCGTTTTCTTTCGAGTGACAACGTCGGCCTGTTCCTCCCTTTCTCGCCAGTCGAGAGGAACGAACGACACCAGTTTCCCACCATTTGCGCGGGGAATAGACATGAGTAACCAGCTGCTCCGAGATATGCTGCCGTTGCCGCCCATCTCCCCTTACGCCGAGCCGCCAACATGATCACCATCCGCCGCCGCCCTGCGAGGCTACCAATTTACCTGGGCATTGCCCTCACCCTGCTCTTCCTGTGGCAAACCGGCCTCCCAGCTGGCTGGAGCGCCCGCGAGCTCTCTTTCAATGGTATCCGCTACCGTAAGTCGAGCTACGACTGGGGCAGCCTGAACCTCGAATACCCTCTCGAGAAGCCCCTCCGCACGCTCCCGAAGGGCAAACCCGTCGACCTCCCTCCCGTTCAGTACGACTTCGGCACCAGCGGGAAGAAGTCCAACAAAAAGAACAAGAAGCTTTCCCACGACGAGGACCGCGACCGCGAACACGAGAAACAGATCGAATCCCGCCGTGCCGCCGTGGTGAACGCTTTCAGACGCAGTTGGGACAGCTACAAGCAGCATGCGTGGACTTGGGACGAGTTGACACCCGTTACGGGCGCTGGAAAGAACACCTTTGGCGGCTGGGCGGCGAGCATGGTCGATGGCCTTGACTCCCTTTGGATCATGGGGATGCACGACGAGTTCCGTCGGGCGGTCCGCACCGTTGCTCTCATTGACTGGTCTAACACGACCGAGTCTGCCGCCAATATGTTCGAGACCACCATCCGACATCTAGGAGGACTTATAAGCGCCTACGACCTCAGCAGCGAGCCTGCATTGCTGGCCAAGGCAATCGAGCTTGGCGACATGTTGTACATGGGTTTCGACACGCCTAATCGCATGCCACCGTTTTGGTTCAAGTTCTCTGATGCAAAGTACGGCACCCAAAAGGTTGGCGAGCGCGAATCCTCTGCTGCGGGATGCTCACTGTCAATGGAGTTCACCCGGTTGTCGCAGATCACCGGGGACCCGAAGTACTATGATGCTACGGAGCGCGTGAAGGAGTTCCTGGTGAAAACGCAGCCCGATACCAAGCTACCCGGCATGTGGCCAATGTTTATGAATTATCGCGAGGAGAAGGCGGATGAATCCTCCTTCACCATCGGCGCTCAGGCCGACTCGCTTTACGAATACCTACCAAAGATGCACGCACTGCTTGGCGGTCTCGACAGCGAGTATGAGAAGCTTACGACCTCGTCTTTCGACGTCATCAACAAACACGTTCTGTTCCGCCCCATTCTTCCCAATAAGACCGATATCCTGATCCCAGGGAACGTCTTCGCCCACGGTTCCGCCCACTCCGTGGACCTTACTCCCGAGGCCCAGCACTTGGGCTGCTTCGCCGGCGCCATGTACGGACTCGCCGGCAAGCTCCTCAGCTCCGACTCCTACGTCAACATTGGCGAGCGCATCTCCCGCGGCTGCGCTTGGGCCTACAAGGTCTTCCCCACGGGCATCATGCCGGAGATCATGACCCTGCACCCGTGCAACGAACCAGACCACGGCGCCTGCGAGTGGGACGAGAAGGCCTACGGCCGCAGCGACGTGCCCGCCGGCGTCAAGCAGGTCCGCGACGGCCGCTACATGCTCCGGCCCGAGGCCATCGAGAGCATCTTCTACATGTATCGCATCACGGGCGACGAGGAATGGCGGGACACCGCGTGGGACATGTTCCAGGCCATCCAGCGCGCCACCGAGACGCCGCTGGCCTACTCGGCCATCTCCAACGTCAACGTCCCGTACGCGGAGATGACGACCAAGACGGACTCCATGGAGAGCTTCTGGTTCTCCGAGACGCTCAAGTACTTTTACCTCATCTTCTCACCACCCGACATCATCAGCCTTGACGATTGGGTGCTGAACACAGAGGCGCACCCCTTCAAGCGGCCCAAGAGGACGCACAGTGTCGAGACGGAGGCCGAGATGCGGGGGCAGTCGTAATGGAGCTTAGGTATATTTCGCGCTTATAGAGGTGACACCATTGGACATGTGTGTCTGTTTGGCCTCAGGAATTCGGTGCATTGTCGGGGGTAAAACTGCATTGGGATATCCATAGACTAGGGGGCGGGCTCGACTGTGCATGCATACGGTGTAGAAGCCATCATGAGGTGTATCCTCCAAGTCGAGAAGTCATGACGTAGAAGAGTTGATAGACTACATTATTTTTTTCATTCCAAAAGGCGACAATGCAATTCAGGACGTGAACTCCCGGTGCCCGCTTCATGAACCCGTCCCAGCCCCATGGCCCCCACGCCGGAGCCATCACATTGGGCCTGGCCTCCCAGCAGACCGACGCAGGGATGTTGCGTGCGGCGCAGAGCACACGCCGCAGGCTACTTGTCCGTGGTCGACAAATTCCCAGGCGACCCAACCTCAATCTCCGTCAGACTTTGATTGGAAACCCGGGCGGGCTCAATAAACTTCAATTTTCACACGGGTGACAAGTCACAACATACTTTTCAATCACAGTCCGGGCGGAAGGGGTCGGGGGTTCCTTTTGCCGCGCTTCAACTCAAAGCAAGCGCAAATCGACGAGGGGCGGGACATACAGATCTCCCCTCCCCTCCCCGCTCTCCCGCCTCCCTTACAGCAATAGCTCGTGGGCTCTTTTCTTCAGCCGTGATCGAAGAAGCAAGTTGCAGGTCAGTGAGTGCAGCATCTAGCAGCAGCAGCGGACCGCGCGCGCGCATGCTGCAGGAGACGGGTTGGTTTACACGCGGCTGCGTCGGTTCTTGGAGAAAATAAGTGCATGTAGCGTGTACACTTGAACAATGCCCAGAGCTGAACTTGCAAATGGGGGCGGGCGGCTTTGCGTTACCAAGCAAAGTAGTCCTGTGGAACGTTGCCATCCCGCAAGTACGACAGGATCTGATTACGCAGGCCGCGGGCAGGAAGCCGGACAGAAAGACATATGAGGCTCGGGGAGCTCTTCCGCGGTGATGGTGGGGTTAAACCATCGTCGTAGGATTCTGTCGAACCAACGACAAGACCGAGAGGACAGCAGAGAGACGCCAATATCCGCATCCGCCATCCGTGAAGAGCGTTTATTGGAAAGTGTTGGAAAAAAGCAAGCGTCGACAGCAAGGATCCCGCCCGATCTCATCCTGTCATCTGTCTGCACTTACCAAAAATAATCCAACGACGACTCCACCGAGCGAAGCAAAGCTGGGGGCCCTTACCACTTGGGGCCGCAGCGGCGGTGCTTTGCTTTTTGGCTCACCGGTCCAAGTACGACGACGTGACGATGAACGCTCTCCCGGAGCTCTCCATCCATCTTGGAAATCCTCCTTTGGCTGCCATCTTGTTTTCTTGTTCTCCTCAGTCCCCATATGCTTTTCGCAAGACAGGGCAGAAAAAGGAAAACAGTGGACGGCCATATGGACCACCCAAGAATATGGGATGGAGTGGATCGGCTGTCTGTGCAACGCCTAGGGACAGGGCGGGTGTAATTCCTTTTCTCTTCTGCGTTTGCGAAGAAGAAAGACGAAATGCCCCGTCTTTTTGGGTCTCAAGGAAGGGATAGACCGATATAACGATCCACCGCATCGCGGG